CTGAAGATGGGCTTACAAGTTTTCTGTAATCATGCTTCCTGATATTCCATTCTAGCCTACTCGAGTGTCTATTTTACAATAGTAAGCAAGGGAAACCAACATTCATAAGACAGTCAAGCATCTTAACATTATTTCCCCTCTTTTACCTATTCAGAGTATTTCTCCATCCCTGTATCACAGAACCTTATTGTTCCAAGGTTGAGTATACATCACTATTTACATATGTCCCATTTAGCCCACGCAAATTTGCGTGTAAGTGTTCATCTACCTTGTTCTTCCATCCCTTTCCCCCCTCTTGCGTATTGCACTCCCCAACACCCGGACTATGCTGTGTCTATCTCCTAACCTGTGCTTTACCGGTCCCCTCCCTCCCATCCCTGGTAGCTAACAAAGAATTTTTTTCTTTGTTTTAGTATCGCTATCTTTTTTTTTAAGCTTCATATTTTTAATGTTTCCATGTTCTTCTTCGGTTTTCATTTTCTTGGTATGTTGTGAAGTATTAATTCTCTTTGAGATTACCCTATATTTTATTAACTTTTCCTCCATTTAAAACAGACTGTTTTAAACTGCAAACTACCTGACCTCTTCATCACCTGGATCTCTGTTCCTATATTTTTTACCTTCTTTCACATTATAATTGTTTTGATCATAGACTGACCTCTCAGATCTTCTGAATTTGTTTTTGTAGTTATGTTCTGTTCTGGACTCTTCCATCTGTCAATTGAGTTCTGTGTGGTGTTTTCGTGCATGTCAATCTCTGGTTATTATCTGTTCTTGTTGGTTTTCAGTCCAAAGAACTCCATTTAGGATGTCTCGAAGTGCTGGGCTGGCTTTGACAAAGTCCCTTAGCTTCTGTTTATCCTAGACTGTTTCTATTACACCTACGTATTTGATTGACAGCTTTTCTGGATAGATGATTCTTGGTTAGCAGTTATTTTCTTTCAGGGTTTTATATATGTCTTCCTATTGCCTTCTTGCCTGCATAGTTTCTGCTGAGCTTAATCTGATTTGCTTGCCTTTGTAAGTACCATTTCCTTTTTCCTAGCTGCTTTCAGGATTCTCTGCTCATCTTTGATTTTGCAGAGCTTGATTAGTATATGTTTTGATGATTTTTTTTTTGTAAATAGTGCTGCTATGAACATTGGTATGCATATATCTTCTCGGATTGTGGCCCATATTTCTTGTGGGTAAATACCAAGTAGAGGAGGAATTGCTGGATCATAAGGTATTTCTATTTTCAAGCTTCTGAGGAAACGCCATATTGCTTTCCAGAGAGGTTGGACCATTTTGCAGTCCCACCAGCAATGCAGGAGTGTCCCAGTCTCTCCACATCCCCACCAGCATTTATTATCCTCTACATTTTTCATCTTTGCTGTTATTGTTGGTGTGAGATGATATCTCATTGTTGTTTTGATTTGCATCTCTCTAATGGCTAGTGATTGTGAACATTTCTTCATGTTTATTGGTTGCCCAGATCTCTTCCTTGGTGAAGTGTCTGTTCATGTCCTGTGCCCACTTTTTAATTGGGTTATTTGTCTTTTTCTTGTAGAGGTGTAGTTTCCTATATATTTTAGAAATGAGTCCCTTGTCTGATATGTCATTGCAAAAGATTTTTTCCCATTCTGTGGGTTCCCTTTTTACTCTTCTGGTGAAGTCTTTTGATGCACATAAGTTTCTAATTTTAGTATGTCCCACTCATCTATTTTGTCTACTTTTGTTTGTGTGGTTTTCAAAATGTTTTGTAGTCTGTGTATTCCCTGAATTAGTGCCCTCATATTTGTCCCTATTTTTTCATTGATGACCTTCATAATTCTGGGATTCACATTTAGGTCCTTAATCCATGCTGGTTGGTTTTGTATAAGGTGTGAGGTGAAGGTCTTGTTTCAATCTTTTGCATATCATTTTCCAGTTCTGCCAGCACCATCTATTGAAAAGACTATCAGCTCCCCATGAGAGATATTTAGGTGTTTTGTCAAAAATCAGTTGGCTGTATGTAGATGCGTTAATTTCTGGATTCTCGATTCTGTTCCATTGATCTATGTATCTTTCATTGTACCAGTACCAAGCTGTTTTGACCACTGTAACCGTGTAGCAAATTTTGAAGTCAGGAAATGATAGGCCTCCAATCTTATTCTTCTTCTTAAGCAGTGCTTTGCTTATCATGGGTTTCTTTCCTTTCCATATAAAGTTTGTAATAGTTTTTTCCATCTCTTTGAAGAATGTATTGGGATTTGGATTGAGATTGCATTATATGTGTAAATTGCTTTGGGCAGTATTGACATTTTCACAATGTTAAGTCTTCCTATCCAGGAACATGGTACATTCTTCCATTTTTATAAGGTGATTTTCTTTTGAGGTCTATGTTTCCTAGGGTTCATTGAGCTTCTTGGATGCTTATCTTTCATTTTTCAGGATGTTAGGGAAATTTTCTTCTAGCAGCTCTTCATTTATCTCCTCTATGGTCTTGTGTAATTCTTCCTGTTCTGGAATTCTGATAATTCTCAGGTTATTCCTCTTCATGTTGTCCCACATGAATCTCAGACTTACTTCAGATATTTTTATCCATTTTTCTGCTTGCTTTTCTATCTTAGCAGTATTGAAAGATTTGTCTTTCAGCTCACTGGTTCTGGCTTCCATCTCTCTAATTCTACTCCTTTGCCCTTTCAGTGTATTGTCCATTTCTGATATTTTATTAATGGTTTGGACCTCATTTTGTTGGTTTTGAATGGCTTCCAATGTTATTTGTATATATATATAATTGTTCCAGTAGTGCTTTCCTGACTTCTTCCTTATTTTTCTCAACCCCTCTGTGGAGCATTTGGATGTGTCTCAGTATCATTCTACTGAATTCCTTCTCAGGCAGTTCCAAAGCTTGCCCTCCTTCCAATAGGAAGTCTAGATCTACCTGCAGCTTATTTGCTTCAGTTAGTCTAGTTGATTTCTGAACACATGCCAAAATTTTTTACTATCTCTTGGGCATCTTCAATAATTAGATGAATGTATGTTGATGTCATTATTAAGCTTTCTGATTGCCTCCAGGTAGATGTGATCAGGAGCTGGGTTTCCCTGATTTCACTTTTCTCATTTTTCTTATTACTCAACTCAGAGTAACTGAGGTGTTGATTGTCTAGCTGGTGTATAGCAGCTCTTGTTTGGATGGAGGGATTTTATAGGGTATGATTGTAGCTTGTCTATATGACCACAATTGCTGTCTCTTCTTGGGTAATGTAGGTAGAAAAAGAGTCCCTCCAAGGTAAAAGGGGGACCAAAAAAAATAAAAAAATAAATAAGTAAATAAAATCACAGCAGCAAAAAAAAAAAAAAAATCCAGATTGGATACTGCAGTCCATAAGCACAAATAAATAAATAGAAAATAAAACCATGGAAAATATGAGTATGACTTTAACATCCCTCACTCAGTTGGCTGTAACCGTTCTGGGAGACCATTCCATTTTAAGCAGGTCTTGTTGACCTCTCCCCTTTTTAGATTTTGTGTGGTGTCATTTGCTGAGCAGATCCATGCCCATGCATAGTAGAGCTCTCTGGGGGTGGAGGTAGTGTGCCCACTTGCTCAGGCACCACCTCTAGAGGTACACAGACAGTGAGAGACCAATGAACAGGAAAAAATGTTCACATCTTTATCTCCGATGATTGGTCAGACCTCTGTGGTGGGAGTGCGCTTCTGATCCTGTTCCTGCTCCATCATGTCCAAAATGGCTACTCTGGCACCCACTGGCAGCCGCAGATCAAAAAAATGCCAAAATTTTTTTTTTTTTTTGCTTCTGATATAAATTACCCTAACAGTAAGCCATGATCCTTCTAAATATTCCTCTATATGTAGTTCAACGTGCTGGATTGTCCCCTGAACCTGCTTCATCTGGTATTCTGTGTTATTACTGATGGAGGTCTGTACTGTGCTTCTCCCTAATCTGTCATCAAGCCAAATGAATTGACTTTTGCTGCCTTTTATTACTTAATGTAATAACTTTCACCTTTTAACAGAAAAAACAACAAACAAAAAAACCTCATTCACTGTTTCATGTTAACTTATATTTGATCATAGTCCTGCCATTATATTTTGTGTGTCTTCCTGGAGTCCTGGTGTGGTGCTGTAGGATAATGCAGTGGACCACAAGGTAGATTTCAACCACAAAGTTGGTGGTCCAAATTCACCAGTCACTCATTGGAAACCCTATACAGGGTCTATATGAGTCATAACTGATTGATTGCACTTAACAACAAGTTTTAATCTGGAGTCCTGTTATGGCACTTGACTGCTAGCTAGAAGGTCAGCTAGTAGTTCCTTGGAAACCCTACACAGGGTTGCTATGAACTAAAATCAACACCACTTAACAAAAACAAAAGTTTTACTTTATTATACTAAAGATTTTGCACCTAATTTTTCTGTCAACTAAAAAACAAAATGTAATCTATGGTATCTTCCTCCTACCCTCAAATGAAACCATAACTTAAGCACATGTTTCCCTTCATCTTTCATATTTTCTTCAAACAATCCATGATATTGCGTACAGATATTTTATTTTTAACATTATGAATATTCTTTCCTGACTGTCTATTGTTAACATTTACATTAAGCTTTGTAAATCTATTAAGAATTAATGGTAGTTGCTTAGAATAAACAATAAGTTTCACTAGTCCCCTCATTCTTTTTCTTGATCACTCCTTTCTGGATGTGTTTCAATTTGTTTTCTCTTTGTACACATGAGGTCACCTCAACACTATATACCACTGAGGACCTGGATATATATGTGATGCATTTCTACAATATTTTTCCATGCTTAAATGTGAACGCTTTTAGTCTGATCATGCTCCCCAGTTTGCCACAATCGCCACTGCTCCCTTTTGCCTACTGATCCCAGTTTGTGCATACACTCTTTTCCTTATACCTTCTCAGACCACGTGCAGTTTCAAATATCTAAATGCTTAAAATGTAATCCTCAGTTCTCACCATGAACTACCTGTCTTTCTCTTTGACTTAGGCTTTAGAAGATCGAGTATGGGAACTTTTACAAGAAGCTGACAAGATAGCTGAAGAGAACAAGGATCAGAGTCAGGTCTACGATGCCATGGCCAACACCTTGGGTGAAGCATGGGCTGCCCTGGTCTCCATGCTAGAAAGAAGAAGGGAACTCCTCAGGTTGACTTCTGAATTTTTCGAAGATGCCTTGGAGGTTTGTGTTAAACAAAACTCCATTCTCCACATCAGTGTAAATGTTAGAACTCATGAAAATATTTTATATCCATAAATAGGCATTGCAACCTGGCTGAAAAACTGGAAGAATAGAAAGTGCAGATATAATACATAAAATACTTGATTGTCACTAAATAAAATTACTAATACTATAAATGTAGGCCTTCAAACAAAAATAACTAAAATGAATTAAAATTAAGTAAATTATTAAGTAAAAAATGGAAACTTTTAACCAACAGTCATTATAGTTTCCCTCTTTAGAAAATAGTTATATAATAATTAAATCAAACAATTAGCCCAAACTACAGGATCATTAAGAACTGCAGAGTGTTCTTGCTGGTTAAAGTTTGGAGGATAAAATTTCTTCTGCTGCTTAAAAAAAAGTAATTGCAGAATATTCTGAAGAATGACTTTAACCTTGTAATCATAATATTTTTTAGAGTATTTTTAAAGTTATGTAGCTGTGTTATCATAAGGAGCTCTGGTAGCATAGTGGTTATGAATCAGGCTGCTAACCTCAAGGTCGACCGTTCTAAACTACCAGCAGTTCTGTGGGAGAAAGATGAGGCTTTCTGCTCCCATAACAGTTTACAACCTCTGAAATCCTGTGCAGGGTCACTATGAGTCAGAACTGACTCCACAGTACTTAACAACAACAACAACAACAGTTGTGTTACTATAGTTTGAGCTTATTAAGATATAAAATGTAAGAGAAGGAGAAATCCTAGCCCCAAAAAGATTATTTCCCTCTATGATTTTTTTCTAGAATTCTGTGATCTTTAAGGTTTACAGTTTTTTAAGATGTGATATTCAAAGAACATTATCAACAGAGGTGGTATATTTGGTGTAAGACTGTTATTGGAAATTTCACGTCTGACTTTTCTGTCAAATGGTAGTGTGTTCAATTTGATGTGAGAATGTTCATTGTTTCATTGTGATAAAGCACTAGCTTTGAAAAATATGACATTTTCAAACTGAAATTTGAGACTTAAATCTAAAATAGTGATAGAAAGATTACTAATAGAACATAAAAATGAGGAGAGACAATCTCATGCATCAGGAGCCTGTTTAAAAGCAAAGGAAGGATAGTAAAGACATCACAGTAATTTTCATGGTTTGTTTTCCACCGTTTAAACACTAGTGTCCAATTCAAAATTCATTTTATGGACCATCTTGGGGGAAAAAAAAAATCCATATATAGTTTTCTTTCTGGAAATGAAATGAACCAGCTAAAGTACACCTCCCAAACCAAAAGCCAAACCTATTGCTATCAAATTGATTTGACTCATGGAGGCCCTATGTAGGGTTTCTGAGACTGTAAATCTTTATGGGAGCAGACAGGGGCCAAATTATAACTTTGTTTGTTTCATTCTATCTTAGTAAATGGGATATGAGCCCTGATGTGGCACTGTAGGATAATCACTGGACTTCTATCTGCAAGACAAGCATTATAAACGCCCAACCAGTCTCAGAGATCCTATACAGGTTGCTATCAGTCAGAACACAATAAGAAGTGGGATATAGGTGTCACCTACTTTTACAACTCAGCTCTTTGGAGCAAAGGGATTTATCTTTTTTTTAAATCTTGTTGTTAAGTAATGTTGAGTCAGTTCAAACCCATAGAACCCTCACAGAGGGATTGAAGGAGTGGCTGGTGGGTTTTAACCACCAGTCTTGTATTTAGCAGTCTAGTGCTTATCCTACAGTGTCACACCATTTCTAACACTTGTTATTATTAAGTACTTTCAAGTCTGTTCTGACTCATAGCAACCTTGCATAGGGTTTCCAATTAGTGGCTGGTGGATTTGAACTGCTGGCCTTTGAATTCAAACAGAGAAGGCAGTTCAGTGCTTATCCTATAGTGTCCTACCAGGACTTTTTTCTAACACTGTTGTTGTTGTTGTTAAGTGTCATCAAGTCGGTTCTGACCCATAGTGACCCTATGGAACTGGTGACGAGGAGCGACTGATGAGTTTGAACCGCTGACCTTGCAGTTCCAATAGACTTTGTAGTCCAGTGCATTAACCCACAGCACCGCATTTGTTTCCCAGCCAATTTTCTCCAAGATGAATAAATTTCCAGAATTACATAAAGTAAAAGAAAATATTGAGTTAAGCACTTATGCAGTCACAACCTAATTCTTACACATGAGCTTTTATTGACTCTACTGAAAAGTCTGTTTCTTGCGTTATTCTGCTTTCATTTATGTGGCTACTTTCTATTAAGCTGAAGACAGACTTCTACATTTTCTTCCCTGCCTTTTATGTGTTAACATTAGTGATTTTTTAAAAGACGGTAAAATGAACAAATCTATAACATGTTCCCTCTTGCCATTTCTATCCTGTACGAGTTGCTGAAAGAAGAAAGTGTAACTTTTAGGTGGAGAAAAGAAAAAATTCACAAGCTAAAACTTAGCAGAATTTTGAGAAGCTCCCTCTGAATAAATAATTGTTTGGTTATCTGTTTATTTTTAAAATATTTATATACAAAGTTGAAAAATAGATATAGATTATACAGTGACTCTGAAATTTTGTGAAGTTCTACAAGGAGAAAAACATCATCCACTCTCTACCATCTCTGTTGTTGTAGTTAAGTACCGTGGAGTCGGTTCCAACTTATAGTGATCCTGTACAGGGTTTCCAAGGCTGTAAATCTTTACGGGAGCAGAAAGCCTCATCTTTCTCCCACAGAAGAGCTGGTAGTTTTGAACTGCTGACCTTAAGGTTTGCAGGCTGATTCGTAACCACTACGCTACTACTATCTAGTCAATAATAATTAAAAAAATTGAATTCATGTAAAAAAAATTGATACAGTGGTACTTATGAAAATATCTCTCAATGGGGAGCAACAGTTGACAAATATTTGTTTAAAATACTACAACTCTGAGGTTTTAGATTCTGATGCTAAAAACAAGCTATTATTAAACTGTTTACATCATTTAATTGTCCACTAGCTGTTTATGAATATTTCAGTTTCTTCGCATGCTCATTGACCACTAGATATTTTTATAGATCTATGCAGTGATGTCATCAATATTTTAAATTGAAATTCATTAATGAAAAATGATGATGAACATTTTTATATGCTTATTTGCCATCTGTATTTGTTCCGTAGATAGGTTATTCATTTTTTGTCCATTTTGTATGGTCTTTTCTATTTCTATTCTTTTTTTTTGAAATATCATATATATAATCATCAGAAATCATTTATAAGATATAGGATTTGAAAAGATTATCTTCCAAAGTATAAGTTGTTTTTATACAATAGTATCTTGAAGAGCAGAGAAGTTTTACAGTTTGATGTGGTGCAAACTTTTATGGAATTTGCCTTTCTTATTGCATCTAAGAAATCTTCAAATGCATCCTATAGTGTCAATGAAACTCCAGTTACAGTACAAAATGACTTTAAAAAAAACTGAAAGTAGATTCACAAAGTTTTGCTATGTTACATTATTAATTCTATAACTCTGTTATATGTTTTACATAATCAAGTTATGTATCAAAACATTTCATCTTTTCCTTTCTAATCAGATGCTTTCTATTTATTACATATTGCCTATTTTATTGGTTATAACATCCACTAAAATGTTTACTAGATTTGCCAAGAGTAGATTTACTTGTCATGTTCAAGTTTTTACTGAGAATGTAGTCAATTTTTCACTATTATGCATAACGACAGCTGTAGGTTGTTCATGTATTGTCTGTCATTTTGCGGAATTTACATTTTAACACTAGTTTGGCCAAAGTTTTATCACTTTAAAAATGTTTCTCTACATGTAGTTGTATGGCACTGATTTTACATGTATAATGTCTTATTGTTGTGAAAGTCTTTAATGGATTATTTAATGGAAAACCAGCAATGCATTCCTGGGACATGTAATTTGATAGATTTTTTTATTTACATATTACAAGACTCAATTTCTAAAAATTTTATACAGGTTCTACACACACACACACACACACACACAGACAGACATCACCCAGCAGAGGTCTTTTTTCTCTTTGAATGATCTCCTCAAAGAAGATACTTGAAAGCAGTTATTAGCAGTGGAGTGAATGAGACATGTAAATGATGTTCAAATGCAATCCACTTACTGAACTATATGCATATGAAGTTTCATTAGAGATCCAAAATGATGTATTATATGATTGAAAATTATTGCAGAAAAATTTAAGGCTTACAGATTCCATTACTAGATGGATTATTCTCTTCTCAAATGCTGCCCAGCAATTTAGGAAGAGTCCACATTTGACAGAGGTGGGTCTCCATCAGGGTGTCCTAATGAAATGGCAGAAGCCTCCATTAGGACATGCTCACCAGGCTCTATCATATTCTATGCCATTATTTATAACTGGGTATTATGCAGCAATTGTAAGAATCAAAGCACAGTTGTTGTTATTGTTAGGTGCCATCGAGTTGGTACCGACTCATAGTGACCCCATGCACAACAGAACAAAACACTGCCCAATTCTGGGCCAACCTCACTATTGTTGCCATGTTTGAGCCCATTGATGCTGCCACTTTGCCAATCCATCTCACTGGGGGTCGTCCTCTTTCTCTCTGACCCTCCATCTTACTTGATCTCCTTCTCCAGTGACTGGTCCCTCTTTAACAATATGTCCGAAGTATGAGAGATGAAGTTTGGCCATCTTGGCCTCCAAGGAGCACTCTGGATGCACATCTTCCAACATAGATCTATTTGTTCTTTTGGCAGCCATGGCATTTTCAATATTCTCCTCCAACACCATAACTCAAATGCATTAAGTCTTCTGTGGTCTTCCTTATTCACTGTCCAGATTTTGCATGCTTATGAGGTTATTGAAAATACCATGGCATGGGTCAGGCTCACTTTAGTCCTCAAGCTGACATTTTTGCTCTTCAACACTTTAAATAGGTCTTGTGCAACAGATTTGCCTAATGCAATATGTCTTTGATTTCATGATTTCTGCTGCCATGAGTGTTGATAGTAGATCCAAGGAGAACGAAGTCCTTGACAACTTCAATATTTTCTCCATTGATAAGACTATTGTTTATTGGTTCTGTGGTGAGGATTTTTGTTTTCTTTACATTGAAATGCAATCCATACCTAAGGCTGTGGTTTTTGATCTTCGTCATTAAGTATTTTAAGTTTCTTCACTTTCAGCAAGCAAGGTTGTATCATTTGCTTATCACAGGTTGTTAGTGAGCCTTCCTCCAATCTTGGTGCCACATTTTTCTTCATATAAATCAGCTTCTCAGATTATTTACTCAGCATAAGGTTGAACAAGCATGGTGAAAGAATACAACCCTATCTCACATCTTTCTTAATTTTAAACCATTCAGTGTTCCCATGTTCTTCTGTTCAAACAACTGCCTCTTGCAGAGCTTGCTAATTGAGTAGTTATACAAAAATATTTTAAAACTTTAAATTCAATGATGAGAAGTTGCAGAAAATATGAAAAGAAGACAAGCACAGTGATAAGCTTTGGTATCTTTCTCACTAATATTCAACTTTGCATTTGTTCATCTATTTTAAAGCTAATCCAAAGGTGAACATGTTGATCAAAATGCTCTGTTAAAATTATAGTAATTACTTTTTAATTACCATTTTGAAAAAATTCCAGCCATTTTTCTACTAATACGTGTATACTGTGGAGTCCTGGTGTGGCGCTGTAGGACAAAACACTGAGCTGTAAAGTCGTTCTGAACCAGTGGTTCAAACTCACCAGCCACTCTTCAGAAACCCTATACGGGATCGCTATGAGTCAAAACTGACTTGATGGCAATTAACAACAACAACAATACTTGGGTCCTGGTTTGGTGCTGTAGGATAAGCAATTTAAACCCCAGAGCTGTTCTTCTGAAACAATATACAGTGTCCCTATGAGTTGGAACAGATTCAACAGCATTTAACAACAAAACATGGATATACAGTGTAGCGCTGAAGGATAAGCACTGGACTCCCAAATGAAAAGTCTGCAGTTCAAATTCACCAGCTGCTCCTGGAAACTCTATACAAGATTGCCATGAGTTGGAACAAACTCAATGGCACTTAACAGCAATGACCTGGATATACTAGGATCTCTGTTGGCAAAGTTGGCTAAATGTTGGGTTGCTAATGGAAAGATCACTTTAAAAATATGTCTCTACATTTGATAAACATTTGAACCCTCCTGCTGCTTCACTCGGTAGTCTGCTTCCATAAAGATTTAAAGCCTTGGAAACACTAAGGAGCGGTTCTACTCAGTCTTTAGGGTCGATGAGATGGAATCACTTCTACAGTAGTTGTTGTTAAGTGCCACCGAATTGGTTCCCAGTCGTAGGGACCTTATGTAAGATTTCTAAGTAACAGCTGGTGGGTTTGAACTGCTGACCTTGTGGTTCATCGTCCTGTACTGATCCTACAGCACCACACTACAGGAGTCATCTACAGCAGTTGCTGTTGTGTGACATCAAGTTGCTTCCGACCCATAATGACCCTGTATAGGGTTTCCAAGGAGCAGCTGGTGAGATTGAACCATCAACCTTGGAGTTCAACTGACTTTGCAGTCCAGTGCTTTAGCCCACAGCGCCACACTCATTTGAACCATAAGATCGGTAGTTCAAACCCACCAACTGCTCCTTGGAAACCCTATATAGGTCGCTATAAGTTGGAATGGACTAGATAGCACATAAACAACAACAACAAAGCTTATTTCTAAGATTATTCACTAGAGGATTTTGATAGCATTTCAATCATCTCTCTCTCCCACATTTATCTTCCACGAAGAAACACAGAGACTGGTCAGATTCTTTATCATTTAGGGTATCAACTTCCTATTCTTTTTTCTTGAAACAAGAAATATTTTCTTATTTTTGCTGTATCTAATCTTTAAAAAAATGTATATAAATAAGACATAGACATTCTTGATGATAAAATTCAAACAAAAATATAAATTGCAAATTCAACAGCTAAAAGTTCAACTCCCCTCACTCATGCTCTAATCTCATTCCTTATCATAGAAATAATCTGATGTAACCCTTTGTTGTTTTCCCTGCACACCACTTATTCTTGCTTCGTATAAAAAATAGAAGTAGAAAAAAAATTACAAAATATTCTGAAATTTGCATTTTTCAGAGTTAAAAATAAACATATGTTGTTGTTGTTGTTAAGTACCATTGAGTCAATTCTGACTCATAGCAACCCTGTACAGGGTTTTCAAAGAGCAGCTGGTGAGTTTGAACCATCAACCTTGTGGTTCAAATTGACCTTGTGGTCCAGAGCTTTGTCCCATTGAGCCACACTATGTTAGCCTTCTTTAAAAATAAATTCTTAAGTTAATTCCATTGCCTTTTATTGTTCGTGTTTTGTTTTTTTAGCAAATGTCTTTGCTTTTTTTTTTTTTTTTGCAAGTTGCCTTTAAATATTGAGAGTGACTGTATTCATTACATAGAACACAGAGATTTCAGTTGAAAAAATTTGATAGACATTTGAACAGTAAACAAGTTAGTTGATGTCAGTATATATGACACATTTCCAGGTCTGAAGCAACCCAAAGGAATGAGAAAAAAATTCTTGCCTTGGCAACTTGTAAATTGGTTGCATGTAAACATATACCCTCAAACACTGAGATATAGGCCGTGAATCCATTAAAAACATCTAAAAATGATTAAAATAGCATGCTGATTTTTATTTTTCCATCTTTCTTTCTGTTGTAGTTTGCTATTAAAATAGACCAAGCTGAAGATTTCCTCCAGAACACTCAGGAGTTTGAGAGTGCTGAATCCTTGAAATCACTTCTTCAGCTCCATGAACATCATACCAAAGGCAAGAAATATGTGTATTTCTTAAATAAGCTCTTGAAGTGTTTTAACAATGCTAATATGAGACTGCCTACGTATGACTGTGTTTTTAATTTACCTATTTGCCTGTACTTTATCTTGTTCCAAGAAAGATTGAGTAATAGTTGATTTTTCGATCATATTCTGTAGGGAAGAACTAGTTGTAGATAGTTTTAAGGGACTGTCCAAGTAGAAGGAATCTCCAAGAGATTCAGTTATTCCATCTGCCAGATTTTATTACTGAGGGCAGGGACAATTTCTATCTGGTCATCCTTGTATCCTCAGCATCTGACACAATGCTTCCCACATTATAGATCATCAATAATATTTCTTGATTAAGTATATGGTTGAATGCAGGGAATTTTTTTTTTCTAAATGTCAGTTAGTAAATGAAGGTTTACAAATGACTGTTCTGGATAAGAAATTTTCCTATTTCATCACTGTTGTTTAACAAAAAAAATTAAAAAGTAGTAGTGAAACTTTTTCTTAGATAAAGAATCTAATAAAATACTATTTTAAAATATTTTCAGCTCCCTCTTAAAAATGATAAAGGTAGTCTGATTGTTAGGCAACAATTTGAATGCTAGGCCTTTCCCACCAGGATTTTGGGACAAGTCAGGTCTGCAGAAGGGAAGGCGTTTATGAAATAATAGTTTTTTATTACAATCTTTTTCTGTGGAGGCATGTTAGAAAAACAGATAGCAATGATTGCATTTTTTCTGTCTAATATCTAATACATTTCCTAATCATTACTGCAAAATAGGCTCAGGTTGAATGGAATTTTGGTGCTGTTAAGCACCATCTACTTGGCCCCAACTAATATATATGCACAACAGAGCAAAACACTGCCCTGTCCTGCGCCATCCTCACAATCATTGTTACTCTTGAACCCACTGCTGCTGTCACTGTGCCGATCCATCTCATTGGGAGTCTTCTTTTTCTCAGACCCTCCACTTTACCAAGCATGATGCCCTTTTCCAGAGACTGGTTCATTGTGATAATATGTCCAAAGTGTGTCCTAAAACTGACTGCCTAATGCAATATGTCATTTGATTAGTTAACTCCTGCTTCCATGAATATTGATAGTGGATCTAAGCAAAATGAAGTCTTTGGCAACTTCACTCTTTTCTCTATTACTCATGATGTTAATTATTGATCCATTGGTGAGGATCTTTGTTTGCTTTACACTGAGGTGCATTCCCTACTGAAGGTTGTGGTCTTTGATCTTCATCAGTAAGTATTTTAAATCCTCTTCATTTTCAGAAAGCAAGTTTGTATCATCTGCATAATGCCAGTTAGTGAGTCTTCTTCCAATCCTGATGCTGTGCTCTTCTTTATATAATTCAGGTTCTCAGATTATTTGCTCAGCATACAGATTGAATTGTTGCTCTTGTTGTTAAGTGTCATTGAGTTGATTTGGACTCATAGTGACGTTGCATATGGTTTCCAAGGTTCAAGCTGGTGAGCTTGAACCACAGACTTTGTGGTTCACACTGACTTTTCAGTTCAGTGCATTAATCCCCAGTGCCACACTATCGACCTTGAATAAATATGGTGAAAAATGCAACCCTGACCCAACCTTTGCTGATTTTAAGCCATTCAATGTTCCCTTATTCTTTTCAAATGACTGCCTCTTGGTCTATGTACAGGTTCCTTATGAGCACCATCAAATGTTGTGGAATATCCATTCTTTGCAATATTATCCATAGTTTATCATGATCCATACAGTTGAAAGCCTTTGCATAGTTGGTAAAACACTCACTGTTTTCAGCCAGGACCATCAGCAATGATATTCCTCTTTCCAAATCCTTGGCTGAAGTGGGCTTGAACCTCTGGCAGGTCCATGTCATTGTACTGTTGCAGCCATTTTTGCCTTATACTTTGTCAATGCCTACGGTTCACCTTGAACTTCTTCCTTTAGTACTGTTGTCAATTTATCATATGCTATCTCTTGAAATGGTTGAACATTCTCCATTTATTTTCTATTTTATTTATTTTAAAAAATATTTTATAGTGAATTATGTGATAGTTTATATGGGACAACATTAGTTTTACATTCATCCTATCGTATATCATTCATTGCCATGGATACAATCCCCTCCATGCATCATCAACCAACCAAAGGGTATACCCTACAAGCCTGCTCCCCAGTTGTCAGCACACAGCCCCTCTCCCTCTCTGGGTCTAAAGTCCCCAGGTGCTCCGTTTTTTCACATCATCATCTCTGCCTCCACCCCTGGCATCACTGCTTCTCTGGGTAGTGTCCCGCTCTGCTTTTCTCCCTTGATGGTCCCAGGGACCTCCGCTCCCAGACTACAAAGTTAATCACTCCCCTCCTTGCTACAAAATGTCTACCTTTGCATTTCCAACTCTCACCATCAGTCCTAATAATAATTTTTCACTATTGTATCTCAAGAGACCTATCTGCTTTTCCTTTCATCAGCCCTGCCTAGACAGATTGGATACTACTCAGTGGAGATTCTACATTCTTCCACTCTCTGGATCTAGGTTCCCTCTTGAAAACTTGTAAGCCAGTCACTTCTTGCCTTTGTAGCCTCCCCACTTTGGGTAGCCAATGTCCAAGTTGCCCATCTGTGTCTTCTCTGTGTATGGAGGGGGTGGGACTGATCCTTGCTATAAAGATTTGTTCCCTCTGTTGAGCTACTGCATCCATAAGTGTAGGTTCCATTTGTTTTTTATACAGTGACTCTTGTGGATTACTTACATCTTTTTTTTTTTTAAGTTTTTTTGTGAATTGAGTGAAACTACAGGGCCGATCATCAATTTTACATTTAACAAACCATACACCTTGTTTCATTACAACGATTGCATTTCTCTCCATGTACCATCAGATAGCAGCATTTATCTCTATTCACTTTAGCTCTTTTTTTCTTTTTGAACACTCAGGCATGTGTAATAATTTAGAGCACATTCTTCAAGTCTGCTTCCTGGCTGCCAGCTCTTAGTCCCTTTCTTCCCATGAATCTAGAGTCCTCAGCTGCTCCCTCTCTCCATGTCCCTGTCTCTGCCTCAATCGCTGGTATCTCTGTTTCTTTGGATACCGTTTCACATTCTGCTTGTGCTCTTCTCCCTCGATGGTCCTAGGGTCCTCTGTTTCTGGACTGTAAGATTAACTATTCCCATTTTTTAATTTTTTTTTACCATTAACCCAACTCAATTTATTTATTTTATTCCTCTGGGGAAGTTCAAACCCACCAGTCGCTCCTCAGAAACTCTATACAGGAGTCATTACCAATTGAATGGCTGTTGTTATGTGCCGAGGAGTCTATTCTGACTTACGGTGACCCTGTATAGAGTTTCCTAGGCTGTAAACCTTTTTTTTTTTTTTTTTT